GTCTCTTTCAGTTCTAGTTTCCTCGATGTGTATGCCCAGCAGCGGGATTGCTGGGTCATATGGCAGTTCTATTTCCAGTTTTTTAGGGAACCTCCACACTGTTCTCCATAGTGGCTATACTAGTTTGCATACCCACCAACAGTGTAAGAGGGTTCCCTTTTCTCCACATCCTTTCCAGCATTTATTGCTTGTAGACTTTTTGATAGCAACCATCCTGACTGGCGTGTAATGTTACCTCACTGTGGTTTTGATTTGCATTTCTCTGATAATGAGTGATGTTGAGTATCTTTTCATATGTTTGTTAGCCATCTGTATGTCTTCTTTGGAGAAATGTCTGTTTAGTTCTTTGGCCAACTTTTTGATTGGGTCTTTTATTTTTCTGGAATTGAGCTTCAGGAGTTGCTTGTATATTTTTGAGATTAATTCTTTGTCTGTTGCTTCATTTGCTATTATTTTCTCCCATTCTGAAGGTTGTGTTTTCACTTTGCTTATAGTTTCCTTTGTTGTGCAAAAGCTTTTAATTTTAACTAGGTCCCATTTGTTTATTCTTGCTTTTATTTCCAGTATTCTGGGAGGTGGGTCATAGAAGATCCTGCTGTGGTTTTTATGTCAGAGAGTGTTTTGCCTATGTTTTTATGAACAGGTTCTGAATGCCACCAGACTGTGAATAATAGCAGCCCTGCTCCCCTCCTCTTGCTGGGTGGGATATAAAATCAGCCAGATGCATTTGACAATAAAATACAGCACCTGAGCAGGAAGAGAAAGACATCACAAAGACAATTCTAGGGTGCCGATTGGACCCGGAACATACATAATTATCTCCTCTCTGTCCATTATTCTAAACTGTCTTTGAGAAATCCCTACCTTACATGGGTCCCTGAATTTTAAAAGACAAGTTTTAATGAAATTGTTTATATGTAGACAGGGGTCCTGCAGAAGAAAATATTTACTGAAACCCCATTTACCTTAAGGGCATTTCTGATCTAGAAGCTGGGGTTTTCTGAACATCAGGGGCAGAAGGGCTGGTGGATAAGGAAGCTGACAGTGTGAGACGGTTTAGGTAATTGGACTGGGAAGGAAGTGAAGACGGGATGTGTGGAGTCCTGCCCCAAGGCCACAGAAGTGGAGCCCAGAACCAAGATCCCCTCTGAAAATGACTGAGTCCCTTTGTAAATGTTCCCAAAAGCCCCCCACCCCCACTCCCACCCCCACCTGATCATCACCAGCAGGCTTCCTCACTCCAAATTAGGCAAAAATGCCCACCTCAGTGATCACCATACAATGCCCTAACCAATCACCTAACGCCAACCTTACAGCAGGAATTTTCTTTGTCTTGAGGCTATAAAAATTGGCTACTACCACGAAAATTGTCAGCTCTCCCTGGTCTGTCAGGAGGCTGGCCTGCTGTGCTCACATCTCCCACATTGTCTCTGCTCTCTGTTCATAATAAACTCACTCCCTTCTGAAATGCTCTGTGTCAGGAAATTCTTTTCCAACCTGCCTTCAGACTGACATGACAGGATCAGTTCAGTTCAGTTCAGTAGCTCAGTCGTGTCCAATTCTTTGTGACCCCATGGACTGCAGCACGACAGGCTTCTCTGTCCATCACCAACTCCTGGAGTTTACTCAAACTCATGTCCATCAAGTCGGTGATGCCATTCAACCATTTCATCCTCTGTCGTCCCCTTCTTCTCCTGCCTTCCATCTTTCTTTCCCAGCATCAGGGTCTTTTCCAATGAGTCGGTTCTTCGCATCAGGTGGCCAAAGTATTGGAGCTTCAGCTTCAGCACCAGCCCTTCCAATGAATAATCAGGACTGATTTCCTTTAGGATGGACTGGTTGGATCTCCTCACTGTCCAAGGGACTCTCAAGAGTCTTCTCCAGCACCACAGTTCAAAAGCATCAATTCTTCGGTGCTCAGCCTTCTTTATAGTCCAACTTTCACATCCATACATGACTCATGGAAACACCATAGCTTTGCTAGACACACCTTTGTTGGCAAAGTAATGTCTCTGCTTGGTAATATATTGTCTAGGTTGGTCAGAGCTTTTCTTCCAAGGAGAAAGTGTCTTTTAATTTCATGGCTGCAGTCACCATCTGCAGTGATTTTGGAGCCCGGAAAAATAAAGTCTCTCACTGTTTCCATTGTTTCCCCATCTATTTGCCATGAAGTGATGGGACCAGATGCCATGATCTTAGTTTTCTGAATGTTGAGTTTTAAGCCAACTTTTTCACTCTCCTCTTTCACTTTCATCAAGAAGCTCTTTAGTTCTTCTTCACTTTCTGCCATAAGGGTGGTATCATCTGCATATCTGAGGTTATTGATATTTCTCCCAGCAATCTTGATTCCAGCTTGTGCTTCATCCAGCATGACATTTCACATGATGTACTCTGCATACAAGTTAAATAAGCAGGGTGATAATATTCAGCCTTGACGTACTCCTTTCCCAATTTGGAACCAGTCTGTTGTTCTATGCCCAGTTCTAACTGTTGCTTCTTGGCCTGCATGCAGGTTTCTCAGGAGGAAATGACAGGATAGGAAGACAGGATAGGATGACAGGATGGAAATGACAGGATAGGATGGACTTTAAAAATTAGAGGAACATGGATGACATGTGTGTGTCTTGTGTGTGCTGTGTGTGTCCTGTATATGTTGTGTCTGTCTTGTATGCATGGTGTGTGTCAAAGGGAAACCACACTGGACCAAATGGCAGGGACAGTCCCACTGGCCGCCCTGACCCTGCTGAACGATGGGACTCAGTGGGAACAGAGGTGAGGAATGGCAGGTGGGAAGGAGTGTTAGGGGAGATCTATGTAAGTGGAAGGGTCTTGAATGTGCTAGAGGGTCTCTGTGGATAAGCTGGTCAAGGTGCTACGGGGCCAGCACCGTGGGTGGATCCTCATGAAGGACCCTGAAGCGACCTGGGGCCTTCAAGGAAGGAAGCTGATGGAGCTCAGCAGGGGAACGAGGAGAAGGCTGGGAAGTGTATGGTGGGAGCATCCCAGGAGCAGGTCTCTTAGCCCCAACTCAGTGGCCCCATACCTAGCTCAGGCTTGATACGGGCTTTCTGAAGGCTTGGGAGTTTCTTCCCTGGGTTCAGACAGAGGAGCAAGGGAGGGGGCATTGGTGGGGGGAGGGAGGGGGCAGTGGTAGGGAAGGGGAAGCTCAGAGCAGCTGGGGGAGGAACTGGCTTTGAGGAGGAACTGGCTTTGAGAAGGTGAATGTGGGGACCAGGGAGTTCACTGGGCTAGGTTTCCAAAAGGAACTGCCCTTAGAAACCAAGAAGGCCTGCCGGAGGACGGCCACGCCTTGACCATGCCCGTGCTGGAGAGGACCCCGGAGATGACCCCACAGGGGGAGCAGCCCACCCCATGGGGCCCCTTTAATAGGCCCAGTTTCCCCCACCTCAGGCCTGAGTTGACCATCTCCTCCCTGCCCCCCCACACCCCTGCACTCTTCCCTCAGGCAGGAGGCTAGCCAGGTCCAGGATTCAGGATTCAGGAATCAGAGCAGTTAGTTTTGCTTTTCAGAATCAACTGTTGCAGGGCACACGTGAGCTCCTCTGGGGCTGCTCTCCTTCAGGCAGGGAAGAGGAAACTGAGGCCGAGAGGGATAAGGAACCAGCCAGCTCCTGCAGCTTGGACGCAGAGGACTGGATTTGAGTGGAGCCTTGCCTGGCCCAGGTGCCTGGACACGGCTTCTTCTGTCATGTCGGGGGGCTGGCTGAGGGCCAAGACAGGACCGGGGATCTTGTGCAACAGGCCGGCACCTGCCCCTTCACCCTGGGGCACTGACCTGAGCACTGAGGGCTCCCTGTCTGGGGTCCAAGCAGGGTGTCTACTGATCCTGGGTGGTGGGCCCCACCTCCTCAAAGGTAGCGCCTTGCCTCCCCACCTTTGAGCTGTGGACCAAGGCAACCATGCCCGGCCACCTCCACCTCCAACTCCAACTCTACCTGAGACGTGGGACTCAGGAAGGAACGCCATCCTTGCCAGGTGGCCAACTTTCCCCGGGGGTGGGGTGGGTCATGTGTGAGTGCCCCAAGTGTCCCAGAAAGATCCAGAGGTGTCACCCTGCAAAAGGTCCATGTCCCAAGAGCCCTCCCAGCTCCCTCTGTGTGTCCCTAAGCTGGGCCGCTGGGATCAGGATGTGCTGCCCTGGAAAAAGGTTGCCATGGGCTCCCATATAACTGCCGGCCCCCGTGATGGGTATAAAGTGTACCAGAGCTGTCCCCAGGGAGCCCACGGGTGGTGTCACCCAAGGTCTTCCCAGCTCCCAGGAGCTGAACGGTGCCCAGGTGGCCGTGTGTGTCTCGGTATGAGTAGGGGGGCTCGGCTGGTACCCTCCTCAGCAGGGGGTGGGGGTGCAGGCCTCAGCCCCAGTTGAGAAGCCGGCCCTGTGAGCCTCTGGCCCGTGGCCATGTTGGAGGGAGTAGACAGGAAGGTGATAGGTAGGAAGGTACTCGGGGGTAGGGCAGAGGGCTGGGGTGGACGTCCAGAGCATGGCCACCCCATGCGCGGCATCGGGTCACGGGCCTCAGAATGGACAACGCTTGGGCCTCGCTCCTTCAGAGGCTGGCCCTGAGCCTCCTGACGCCAGGGGAGCTGAGAGATTCCCCCAGGAGGACTCGAGCTGATGTTCTCCATGCCAGGGACCGAGACCCATTAAAGGAAGGAGCTGGGGGTGGGGGGCGCGGGCGGGGTGCAGGGGGGGTGGTGAGAGGGAGGGGCAGCAGGCCGTGAGGGGGGAGGTGGAGGGCTGTCTTGCTTGGGCTCTGCAATGAGGAAGTTCTCTGCAGCTCAGCTTCCTTTCCCTCGCCGAGTGCCTGAAACAGGAAGTCAGTCAGTGAGCGGGTGGCAGCAGCAGCAGCAGCAGCTGGGACGACTGAGAGGGAACCACGGGGGGTCGCGGCACAGGAGGGCCCAGCTCCCCTGTCGGCGCGGTGTCCGGTCCAGTGGTGAGGCCGCCGGGCCTGGCCCCGGGGAGACCCGTGCCCACCATGGTCCCCTGCTGGAACCATGGCAACATCACCCGCTCCAAGGCAGAGGAGCTGCTATCCAGGACGGGCAAGGACGGGAGCTTCCTCGTGCGTGCCAGCGAGTCCATCTCCCGGGCCTACGCGCTATGTGTGCTGTGAGTACCCGACCTGCCCACCCCAGCCTGGCCTGGCTACGGAGGTGATGGAGGTGCCGCTTGGGCACAGGGCAAGCTGGCTCGGGGCGCGTCAGGGCCCCTGCCCTGGGATGGGGTTGTTTTGTGTCCAGTGATCGTGCACACTCCCCAGGTTTGTTGGTGGGTCTGGCTGAGGCCCACCAGGGGACCTGCTCAGCCTTGGAATTGGGGTTTTGAGAGCAGGAGCCCCCATGGACTAGCCTGGGGCCTGGGCCGCACACCCCAGCGACCAGCAAGCAGCAGGACCGGGGGCTTCCTAGAGGTTCCAGGGGCCAAGAGGAGGAGGGGGTATCCAGGCCCTGTGAGCTGGGTGGAAACTCAGGGCTCCGTGGTGGTGGGAGTGTTAGAAAACAGCTGGGTCAGTTCAGGTGTTGGTCAAAGATGCCCAGCTGGGAAACCCTCCTGGAAGAATGGAAGTGGCAAGAGGGAACCCTTCCTCTGCCAGGGTATGGGCCTTTGGAGGAAGCTGTTGTCTGGGGAGCTGTGAACATGGGGAGTCACTCAAGAAAGGATCAGAAGCTGTATCTGGGGCCCTGGGAGCAGAGGAAGTCACGTTACTAACAGCAGGAGCCACTTCTCACCCGTCCTGGGCCCTCAGCTGTGTCCCCACCTTTTGAGGCCTCTTGGCCACCATCGACAGCACCCCCGCCCCTGGCTCTGGGATGTTGCTGAATGCACCAGTTGTCCCCAAACTGGGGAACCGGACACTTGCTGAAGGTTCCTTTTTGAAACACCCTTCTCCACCAACGTCTGAGGGGAGGCCCGTGGCCCTGCACTCTGCCGCCCTGTGGTCTAACCATGCCTGCTGGGGCCTGGGGTGTGATGGGGGAAGGGTGTGTTCACCTGCACCTCTCAGGTAGCACCCCTGGGCTTGCAGAAGGGTCCCTCTGAGCAGGCAGACCCTACCTCTATCCATGCAGGAGGGGAAATGGGTCATGGACCACAGGCCTTATTTGGAGCTTGTTGAGTTTGAGCATTTGTCTGTGCGTCAACCTATTTCAACCTCACGACAATCTGAAGTGCAGGTCCTTTCGTTGGCTGCTTTTGCAGATGAGGAAATTGAGGCTCAGACGGGTTAACCGAGTGAGGACAAACTCAACACTGTCCGTCCTCAGGGGCTGCACCCAGACAGACAGACAGCTGCCACCCCAGTCCTGTGCCTGTCAAGCCGGTGTGAGCCTGGGTTCCAGTGGCAGTGAGAGAAGGCAGGGTGTTTACCAGGATGAACTGGGAGTGTTTAGAAAGTAACCCAGGCTTTCAGCTGGCCAGTCGGCCTGAGGCCTGACTGCACCAGAGTCTCGCCCTCCCAAGGCCGGCTTCCTGAGCCCCCAGTTCTCACACCTGGGAGGAAGGGAAGCAGACCCAGTCTTCCCCACAGGCACAGCCCCTGTGGGGACCCATCAACCCGGGTGGAAAAACAGTGGGGATGTCCTGATCTGCCTCCCCTCAGCCCACGTGGAGCTCTTCCCCTCCCCAGGAGACCTTGGGAGCTTCCAGGCTCCAGCTCACTAACCTTCACAGCAGCCCCTTGACCAGGAACCGTGGTCAGGCTTAGGCTACAGACTGGAAGGTGGGTCTCTGACTCCAAACTGGGAGCCTTGTGACAGCCAGAGCCAGAGCTGGGAGAAGCCATGAAACCTCTAGTCCCACAGCCCCTGACTTGGCAAGTGGGCAGACCTCAGAGAGCTTGAAGCCTTTGTCCACACCGCCCTGCTGTGTGTGTGTGTGTGTGTTAGTTGCTCAGCGGTATCCGCTGTTTGCAACCCCTTGGACTGTATAGCCCGTCAGGCTCCTCTGGGATTTCCCAGGCAAGAATACTGGGGTGGGTTGCCATTCCCTTTTCCAGGGGATCTTTCTGACCCAGGGATCGAACCCGGGTCTCCTGCTTTGCAGGCGGATTCTTAACCATCGGAGCCCCAGGGGAGCCCCCACACTGCCGGGCTGGCTGGTGGCAAACAGATCCCAGAGGGTTTGCAGTATTCGCTCCTCTCTCCTGCGTCTCCTTCCCTCCCCTCCCCGGTGCTGAGTTCCTCTCGGGGCCTTGGCAACTGAACAGGGTCTGCCTCTTCAGGAGGGTACCCATGGCCCACACCCCACCCCATATCCACCATCCTCTGAGTCCAGGGCTGGGCTTCTTGTCAGTCTCCCAGCCCCAAGGCCCCTTTAGCTCCAGACAGCAGGGCTTGGAGCCCTCCCCAGGGAACCCAGCCGAGAGACCAGACACTAACCCCAGGCCCGGGGCTCCCTTCTCCCCTTGGCTCTGTCGGAGGGAAGTCACGCTTCCTGCAGGGGCAGGAACCCCAAACTTTCCAAAACCCTGGGACACCTCCTTTTGCCACCACTTTTAGTGTTGCCAATTAAGGAGATTTAAAAATGAAAACCTAGCTAAGTGACATCTAACTGCTGCCTCTCAGCCGCTGATTTCATGGAAGTATCCTTTAGTGCCACTGAAAAGGCAAGAAGAACGTGCTCTTAAAAAACAGAGAAAATAAAAAAGCCAGTCCTTTAAATCACACAGGTTTGACTTCCTGAAAAACAGCCCCCCACCCTCCCACCCCATCCTTAGCTTTCTCTCTTCCTGGGACTGGTGAAAACCTTGTCCTCTTGGTCCTCGGCCAGTGAGGGGCACCCCAGTGGGGTTCCACAAGCCTGAGTTTCCCAGGCATCAGGCTGTACCCTCTGCTTCTCTCTGGGAGTTGCTGAGAGAGCAGGACCCCACGTAAGCCAGCCATGGGGTCAAGGCCTTTTAGTGACCCTACCCCAAACTGAGTGAGGAAGCAGAAAGAAGCCTTCAAGACTGGCCCTCCTACGCTGGAAAAATCTATACGGGAAAAGACCTCGGGCCCCGGGGGCCCAGACCTGCCCTGCCTGGACTCCAGTGGCTCGAGCATATTCCCAGCCCCTCCAGTTGAGAGAAGGGGGCGGCAGGGGGCTTCCTACACCGGTTTAGACTGAGATGCTTGGAGCTCCAGGACCTGAGGGCAGCTTCCTCGGGAGTGGGCTGCTTGCTGGAGAAAGAGGACAGGATTTGCCTATTTAAATGGAACTAAGGAGGGGGTGAGGGAGACGCCAGAAGACAAGGCTGCGATTGACAGTGGCCCACGTGACCCACGCATGCCCGTTTGCCCCCGGGCCTAGCAAACCTGCACTTCCTCTCGGGAGGTCAGCCCTACCTCCTGTTCCTCCACAACTCAGAAAACCTTGCTTTAGGGGGACCCTGAGGCCCATTTCAGGATGCAGAGAGGTGGAGGGGAGGACCCCAGGCAGCTGACCCCATGAACAGACTCCAGCTCTGCCTTCTTGCAGCAAGGGGCTTGAGATGGCAAGGGGCAGTGGGTCTTCTGGGTAGGGCCTATGTCACGCTCCCCTGGCCCCACTTGAACCCGCCAGCAGACTAGGGAGGTCAGGGGGGCTCCCTGAGGGGGCTGTCTGGCCCCTGATGTACAAAGGGTGCTAAGGGCCTGTCAAGTTTGTGCCCTCCTCTACTGCTAGGACTGTGCTTCCACGTGGGGCCAGCACTCCTGCCACGTGCTTTCTGCTGCAGAGAAGAGGTACACCTTTGGGGATTCAGGTCTGTCAACGTGTGGGGTCACGGGTCAGTTGGGGCCAGGCTCTCCTTGCCCTTGCTGGGCGGGTTGAACTAGAACAATGGCCCAGAGGAGTCAGAGATACACTGCCGTCTCTGTAAGAGCAGCCCAGCCCCCAGGAGGAAGCCTATATATTCTGGGTTCATCAGCCACCATGAAGGATGGAGCTGCCTGGTCCAGTGGTGTTCCCACTAAACCACACGGAAGAGAGTTGGCTTCCCTCCCAGGGGCAGGGGCAGGCATGTGCTACCCGTGACTCTGAAACCGATGTGTGGCCTGGCCAGCTGTGATGAGGACATGGTCTGGGTTTCCCTCAGCACATGGCCAACCACAAGCTGCCCAGGCAAAGCTACAGCTGACTTCCCAGGGACAGTACAAGGTAGCCTGGACTTGGTAGCCTTGTGAGCATGGCCAGAAAGACAAAGAAGCCCTAGAAGGACATTTTGTCACCAAAAGTGCCCTCTGAAAAAGCCTTCTGCTTGTTAGTAAGAAGGTTATGACTCCTTGAGGTATGGCAGGCCATACCATTGCAGCCTTGCTCTGCAAACTGAAGGTGGATACTGATGAATTCTGTCTAAAAATAACAGCAGAAGACAACCTGCATGTCAGGTTCTGTCCTAAGCTCTTTGCACACACTAACTCACTCACTGTCCACACTGGCCTTCGGAGGAAGTGTGGTTATTATCCCCACTTTACAGATGCGGAAACTGAGACCCAGAGAAGTTAGGTAACATGCTGTATGTTCACAGTACTAATGATGGCAGGACCAGGACTTGAACTTACTGTTCCTGGGAGAGAGAAAGAGAGAGACGCCAGCAAGTCTGGGTGTGTGCAGAGTCAGAGGAGGCCTGGAAGGCAGACCCATCGTGATGTAGCACAGAGAAGAGACTTGGCAGGGGCGTGGGGCAGGACTGTCCTGGAGAGGTGTAAAGCCATTTACTAAGATGTGAATGGGTCTGATGTAATCCTCCTTCCTCCAACCCCCTTTCAAAGTTTAGGAAAGTTTATACTGATCCCAGATGCTGGGAAAGACTGAGGGCAGGAGAAGGGGGCAACAGCAGATGAGATGGTTGGATGGCATCACTGACTCCATGAACACGAGTGAAGGAGATAGTGAAGGACAGGGAAGTCTTGCGTGCTGCAGTTCACGGGGTCACAAAGAGTCGGACACAACTTAGCAGCTAAACAACAACAATGACAAATACTGCTCATGAATTACTTTTGTGCACATGCAAAGGAAAAGACTGTTTTTCCTATCTGGTATTGACAAAGGGTGAGAGATGCTGGCACAGACAGTGGTCAGAGCCAGAGGACCACAGCTCCTAAAAGCTGGTTTGTGTAAGAGATTGTCCAGCTTGCTGACTAGTTGTCCGG